TAGGTCTATAAAATTTCTCTCAACCACGTTTCGCTCTGGAATTCCTAGAAAAACGTGTAATTGTTATGGAATATTCTTTTACATGTAATTCCTCAAATATGTGCATACCTAGAAATTTCAATTTTTAATCATTTTTACTTCATGATCAAAATTCACAAAAGTCAAATCAATTTAGGTTTTGGCACAAATATCTGAAGAAATGATACAGCTTTCTAAAAAATAGAATCCACCACAATCTGTATTGTTAATTCGAATAACTTTGACACCTTAAATATTTATGTTGCATAATTTAATGTTGATTTTAATTATCAGCGAATTTCTGCTATATTTCGTTACAAGTCTATTTTTCTCATGAATAATCGATTAAGCATGAAAAATGTTAAAAGCTAATAAAATCGAATAGACCGTCACGAATGTGTTTACAACAGAGGAAGAAATATTCCGGGTATGTGGGTAGAGAGCAGCTTCAAGCGTAGCTCTTCAAATAAATATTTAAGTGGTTATATACAATGGTTGCTAAATGAGAAGATAACCATATGGTGAACCAGAGTAGACGCGTCTATTTGATTCTCTTTTTATCAGCATTAATTCAAATAATCTTCAACATTATCTAAAAGTGCATATCTCCAAACTATACCATTTGTTTAAAATTTCATTTCCTAAATTGTTAATTTTAACTAGCATTAACATTCAAACATGAGACAAAATTTAACTTAACTTTAACTTAAGTATTTATTTATGAGATTTATGAATGTTAGAATAAGAGAATAATAGTTATATCCATCTCAAACTGGTTAAAGTAAAATCAGCAATCATTTCTGCGAAGTCATTTTTACTGCATTCAAACGATTACTTCGAGGATCTTTCAAAGTAGCCACGCCTTCTTGAAATCTACTAACGAATCAGGGTGGTATACTAAACTCTCCTCCATACGATGATTTTGGTTCATCTTAAGAATAAGAGAGCTCCGCGTTTTCCAAAACCTCTTCAGTCACAGATTAGTTAAACTGACTCGTTGAATAGCTTCAAAAGTGAATAAAACCTGAAAATTAAAAATTTTTTTTAAACAACCAGTGGCCAAACAAAAAGAAGAGTTTCAAAATTATATAGGACAAAGGTGATAAACATAATCGGTTAGAAGACTCGGAAAGTAATCCTCTTTCATGATTAAAAGTTATAAATTACTCCATTACAAAATGACTCAATGCGATAAAAATATACGAGTCTCATCTAATCTGTCAGCTACATTAAAATTCGGAGTTGATCGAATTCTATCCAGTGGATTTTGTAAAAAAGTAATCAATAGTATTGAATCGGATTCAACAGATCTGACACATATCTCCAGTACGAATCAGTACTTGTGCCCAGATAATTGTCAAAGGTGTACCAATCGATCAAAGTTTGTAACAAGATCGCAAATAACTTCGTCGCTTTTCTCAAATTGTATGGGCGT